GGCGGCCACTTCTTTCTGTTGCGAACCGTCATCCGTTGCCATTTTTGCTGCAACAAGCAAGTAAAGCCAACGTATGCGTACAATTAGCACTTACTTTTGTTTCAGACTGTTTTTACATTATTTTATTCACCGCTTCGAAAATATTTAATATGATCTACTTAATTAAATGATTAGCTTTCATTACGAAAATTGTCCGTCAAGAAAGTTCACCTAACGTGTTGCTGTAGATCAAATCGAAGATCCAAAGGTTGCACTCCCTTTGAAAATATATTACTACTTCGTACATTGCTGAATTAACAGTATGGAGATAGCGAAAGTCACCGTTGGAGCGTCGGTCTTCATTCTCTTTAATGAATGAGCAATTTTGACGCCCTTATTATCATAACGTTTATGGCGTGGCGCTAATATTTGCTTCGATACTATTAGCTGTGAGTGCTTTATTCTTCACGAAGGCAGGGTTTACAGCTATGTGACAGGCGTATTGTGTAGTTTGCTGTTTCTTTCCCACAGAGTGTCACTGGTTTTTCGACCTTGGGAGAAAGAAGCACGAGTAATCCCGACCGGCGCTTGAACTTTAGACCTATTGTTCGTTAGTTTTTGATACTCTATCGACTGAGTACCCTGATCTGAAGAACTGCATGGTAAATTCTTTGCCAAGAGGAGTTTCTGAGTAGGACTGATCATCCTTGAGCAAAAACTAAAGCGACACTTCTGAAGTTCTTAATAAACTTCTTGGACAACTGTCAATCACGTCACACATAGATGTGCAAACGAAATTCAAAGTTTATGGTTTGAACAACATCATTTTAATGTCATACATTTTATCATAAACTACAAATTGATTTGTACGAATTAATTGGAAAATAACCAACGGTTAAGACAAAATAGCATTAAATTCAAATACTATGGAGCAATCGCCTGCGTAAATCGATCCTCATCAGACAACCAGGAGCGGGAGGCGGCGCAATATGCTGTGAAATCTGGTTTCAGGAAAGTCATGAGTTATTTTAAAGATAACATAGATAAATTTAGTCTATTAAATTGTAGTACAATGCTATGTTCAATAAAGTGAACGACGAATAAAAACGTTTCAGTTCACATTGCACAGGCCATTTCAAAGATAAAAGACGCAGCGATGTTTATTTTTTTCTTGAAGTTGCCAGTGGATTGAGGATTCCTTTTAGCCAAAAGCCTCTTGCCACTGCAGAGACCTACAGCAGAAACCATGGTATGCATTTGCCAATCATCTTCATTGCGTTAAATAAGAGACATATGGCAAAACTTTGGGATGTCAGTCTACCTTGCTCCTTCATCATTGGCCATCGTGTGCAATGCTATTCATGAATCTTATTGGGCGGCGCTAATCGCTCCTGTTTCATTCCGTTCAGAGCGCAACGAACCACCCACTTTTAATGCTACCATTAACGACATGTGACTATTATAACATGCAGGTTCGCGCTTCTTCTCAACCAGATGGTTCTCATCTGTCTAACCCCACAAAGTGAGATGTGGCTGACACGATCACAACGCTAGCTCTTGATCATTCACAGCTGTGAGTGTGTGGTTAATCCGATTCAGTCACCGTGGTTTGTATTGCTGTGTGTTAATAAACAATGTCTGCGTTGTATTTCAACATTACTAGCAAATCATGAAATACATAAATAGTACTTCAAATTTTTAATCCTTGACCCATAGTTATTTTGAGAGTTATTGATCGATTCATAGTGCAGGGCACCAAATAAAACAAATGGTACAACAGTTTATTGCTAATGCGTTTCGCTACATAGCCTGCAGCATCATAGCCCCTTCGCAAAATTGATACCGACATCGAGTCAGTATGACAACGATCCGATTGATTTTAGTAGGAACGTTATACTTCAGTTTGATGATTAATATTTTGCTCAGTAAGCTTAATCGTATAGGATGAGTCAGTTAAAAATTGATATTGTTCATTCGTCAGATATAAATGCCTTAAAGCGGTCGTTTGTATTCAGTCCAGCCCTGGTTATGCTGCAAGCTATACAATGAAACGCACTAGCAATAAACTGTTGTGCAATTTATTGTATTTGGTGCCCTTAACCATTAATCGTTCAAGCACCTATCTACATTAACTAGTACTCCATAATATTGAGAGAAAAAACTGAAAGGGTTATGATAAATCCTTTGACCAAATTGGAATTGTTTTCAATCGAGAAAGCCTCGGGAATCGTGCATCGGACAACAGAAAAAAGTCATATTCCTTAACAATGAGTTACACGGGCATCGATAAAGAAAAATTCGGGCTGAATAGACGAATCGGAGAAGCCATAATTATCTAATCCTGCGAATATGTCAACCTGGACAAAGGATATGAACCCTGCTCAGATTGGGCAGCCTTATCAAACAAATGAACTAGACCTACTTAGACAAAGCATCAACAACACGCACACTTACGGATCCAGACGCCAGAGCAGCTGCGGACTACTCAACTAACAGGCAAAGGTAACCCAGATTACTAGAAATGGAGACGAAGGGAGGAGTCGAAACATTGGTTTTAGTCAATCAACCGATTGCGTTGTGATAGACAGTTTTATGCATTCTTTAGCTGCAAATTTTATGAAATGCGGTTCAGAATCATATTCAACGAAGGATGAGTTAATTCCAAATGATTAACATCAAGATTTTGATTCACATGTTAGTAGAGATCGTGTTATACTTCCATTACATGAATAGCAGTCGATATAGAATTCAATTATTCTAACTTGCAAGTCAGATATCTACAGATTTGCTACGTCCTATAGGTGAATACTCGCGCGGAGCTTTGGAAATATTTTATTTCGATTATACGGTACTTAGTTGCTATAACACTGTAATCCTAGATTGAAAATATGATTTAAACGTATTTGCAGTTTATGAAACACTGGAATGAATGAATTAACGGTTACGATAAAAATGTTTAGCAAATTTCGTTATTTGCTATTTGTATTCTACGAGTTTGGTAGAAGTGTTTCTTTTAATGTATCCTTTTATGAATCATTATTAGTCTGCTTTGAGAGTGCCTACGGGATATTCATGTTTTGTTTGCCATTAGTTTGTCTTGTGCTGTTGCCGAATACTTTTAACTGTTAAAATTCCAGTTCATTCATGTTAGTGGTGACTTTGATAATTTAACAACCATAATTTATAATGGGTTACTGTATAATTGGCAGTCGCGAAGGCAGTATTATTTGGAATAGAAAGTACTTGTCAATTTCTCTTACGAGATCATTTTATAAAAATAGTGCCATTTGAGGCATTGTGACAGCATGTAAGAGATCGACTTCGAAATTCGGCGTTGCAGGTTTGAGTTTGGCCATAAAAAGAAGCTACCTGCCCTTCGTGGTATTGCCGTCATCGAACATTATGCCCACTCTGTCGTCGTCAGAGCTGCCAAGAGCCGCGCAGGCTGCGAAAAGTCGGCGTTGTCGCAGCTATGGGAGTAGCAGCACGGCGACGGCTTTCGAAGATACTAGTCACCAAATGAGCTCCTACCCTTTCTGAACGGGGGAGGGAGACACCGTGATGCGATTATGGTACGTCAGTGAAGGTTCCACGTGAATGATACTGACGGTGGGAGGTTACGGTCGGAAATCGGAACATACACCCATACGGAAAATCCATGAGATTGTTGATGAAGCCAGAAGGTACCGACTCGACATAGAAGGACTCTCGTCATTATATCTTGGTGTTGTCGTGTTAGAACTTGTGAGACACGGAGTCGTGCTGCATGACGCGCACACCTTACAGCGACAAGTCAGTTAATTTGGCAGCTCAGGTGTCCACTCAGCACTCAGTTTTTCTAATCTGTTAGAAGAACCCTGATACTGATTGTATTAAAACAGGCAGGGGTATTTTGAACTGTTCGAATGAATGTTGATTTTGACACGAT